CCCTTCCTCTTTCACGCAATGTCGTATTATTCAGCCTCTTTCGGAAGAATGAGCGGCTTAACCGTCTCGGGGGACAGCTCGGATTTGAAGAATTTATACTACCTATACATATGGTACCTCTGCCAACCGTCACTGCATAATCCCCACTAACCCGATGAAAAAAACCAAATAAAAACCAAAATTTGGAGTTGCTCTTGTTACCATGTTTCAGAATGACCACAAAATATTTCCCATACATTTGGAGAATCATCTACGTACGGGTATTCCGAGGCATTCGAGTACCATTCCTGATCAATATAAACCTCTATTCGTATTAAGCCCTTCGCAGGCAGCTGAACCCCACTATTTGCATAAACTCATCGAAGGCAATAATTAGGTAATTTGAGGTTGCCGACAATCGAATGGCACGGGTGACAGGGCGAGATATGTCAACACAAGGGTCTAATTTCTCAGACTCCCAGGCCTTGACCTTCGAGATGAAAAACGAAGATGCTTCTGCAGAGTCCTTTCATTTTTTGCAGTTTTCGTTCTTTTTTATTCGCTTTCATACCAATTCCCGAAGGAGTAGTTCGTGAGAGCTACCCACTCCCTCGAAATAAAGCAACTCAGCCGAATATTTATACTCTTCAGCATTTTTGTGCATTTGTTTCACCCTCTTGATGTAGCAACTTAGTCATTTTCCCGACCTTGATCAAAGCATTTAGATTGCGCCACGCATGAAACTCTATTGAGATATGCTTTACTACTTGTAAAGGGTATTGAGCCTAAACAACGCCTAGGTCCTGGTACCTGAGAATGCTGTCAAAAGCAAAGGCTACATGTGCTCAAGCTTAAGTTTTGTATCAACCAAGACTTAAATCTCTTGAAATCAGACTCAGAATGCTCGAGCCAGGGACCGTTTCTGTAGCTTGGCTGAGCGCCTTTAACCTTCACGCTGTCACAGCTTCTGCCCTCTTAATTAGGGAAGCTTCTGCCTCCTAATTAGACTATTTTTACAATTATTTTGGTCCTTTTTACTCATTACTCACTATAAACACCTCTTTAGTATAGAAAAAGTGAGGTATGTGGAAGCAGCTGCTATGGTGGTGTAGTCTGATTCGATCTTCCATGATAGATTGCTTATTTTACGAATTTCGACCTCCCCCTCTTGCCCCGCGTCGTAATAAGGAGCTTATTACGAAAGCGAGTAATTCAAGAGGTGGTATAGGCTTCGAAATTGGACTCTCGCCAAATATTGCGTCGGGCTGGCATTCGTTTCATTTCAAGCCATCTGGTGCATAAATTCCGAGTCATTTATTCCTTCTACAGATACCATCAGATCGACTTAGGGCTCGGCTTGTTATCTTTTTCAAATTGCCAATTAACGACGCCCTCATTTCTGGTCTAAAGTTTCTATAAACTTAGGTTATCGTAGTATGTTCCGACCTTAGTTCTACCTCTGCATATAATTATTCGCTGTCTAACTAGGCTAACTAAGGGGCTGAACTACCGTTGCCTACCAACTGGTGCCGCTCTACTGAAACAGTACATGAATTCTGTTCTTAAAGTCGCTTCATACATTTCAAGTGGGTTTTATGCCAGTGAATCTAGAAAGAGCATCCATGAGCGCATTAAGGGGAACGAATTAAAATAGAATACGAAAAATTAATGGAGTGCGGATTGACACAAACTGTTGCTTTTATTCTCACAGTATCATAAGTTTACCAATGAAGTTCTGTTACCGAGAAGCAATTTCTCTCGCTGAATTAAATATTCAACTAGTTTTTTCGACGAAGCCGCTGATTAACTGCTGTAGACCGAGTCTTCCAGCACTTAATCATGTCATTTCTTATAGAAATTATCCTCTTGATGGAGATATACCGGAAAATGAACATCACTCATCGTCTGACCGTTAGGGTTTTCACCATAGAATCAATCAAAAAAAACTTCATATTCTTTTAATCTTGCTTATTTCTTAATGGGCAGATTCGCTCCTTTGATCAAGAACTCGAACACTTCATTTTCCATACATTTATTTCCTTTTTTCAGTTTCTCTTGTAAGAGTAGGTACCCACATCTACGAATACCAACTCCAATACTTGCAATCCCTCTTTACAACAATCTACTCATTTGAGAAGTAACGGAACTTACCTCCATCGCTGTCCTTTGCAATTCTCCCTCTTCATTTTGGTCTCAAGCACTTCGTAGCTCCGTTTGTTGGTGAGGTTATCTTATGCATGAAGTCTTCGGAGTCGTACCTACAAAATGCTTAATAATTCTTCCTATTATAGTACTGGCACACTTATTGGAGGATTAATCGGAAAAAGGGAAAATCCAAACGCGTCGTTGTTTTCATCATAAATCATGTCCTGAATATTCCTCAAATAATTCCAAAAGAAAATCCGAATATCTAGATTATGATTCAACTTCCAATATTCTCAGTAAAGTCAGTGTCATAGCTTAAAACAGCTCGATCTAGAAGACGTCTATCCGCATCCAACGTTGCTAAAAAGCAGTGTAGGAGAATTTTTTTCAACAAACACTTCACCCTGAGCAATCAAAAACGTCACCCTATCCAATCAAAAACGCGCAATCATGCCACGGACCCCGCCCACAGGTCCACGGGCTCATACCTTTCCCAGCTTCAACATGTTTTAATCTACAAAAAAGCGATTCAGCCACAAAAACTAACCATTTCCCTACGCTGCTACTTGTCTGGGAATTCTATGAAATCGTAAGGGAGTTAGGTGAACTGTGACAGGTAACTGTGAAGGATCGACACAGTTACCATTAGATTCTCTAAGCAAGACCAGATGGAAGGGTGGATTGGCCCTACAGCTGGAATGGGCTTCGGTTAGGTTGTGAGATCATTTTACTTCCACCTGACATTTTAATGCTCAACGATAACTCTACGGAGCTCCCGGAGCGTTATGGATTGTAAATCGTGGTCTCATCGATGTCATGGGGATGAACTGTTACTGCAGTTTCACTCAAGCAATCATTTTTCCACCAGGCAAATGGAGAGTGTGCATTTTTAAGTCCCAGGCCATCAAGGAACAAAGTAATTTGTCAGGAACGCAAATTACTTTGTTCCCTTGCGGCCGGTTTTGCAGATTCTGATCGAATTTCATTTTCTTAGGCTTCCAGCTTGGGGAGCATTGAATCATACCAATTCAATTACTGAGCTTTTCTTCCAATTACATGGAGTTATCGATTACAACTGGGAGAGTAATGTCGAGCCCATTTTTCATCTGCACATTGAATTGTCCCTCAGGCAGAGCTACTGCTATTGTTCTGCTGGCGTCTGATGAATTTCAGGGCCATTCATTTTTTTCTCATATTTATGGGCTAACCAACAAAGGGTACCATGCCCATGAAAAAATATGGATTTGCTGCTCCCAGAGCTTTTTATAGCCTTTTAATAGAGACTGGGCACTTTGATGGATTCTCCGTTTGAATCCTAAAATTGCTTTCGGATGAGCTTCCAGATATTTTCAAACTTGATAGAAATACCTTTTAAATCAAAGGTGCAAACCCGTTGAAATAAATTGGTGGTCCCACAATTTATGATAAGCTGTGAGTATTTCTGAAAAATTTCCCATGAAAAGTTGATGATGAATTTTCAATAAATATCAGCTAATTTTCAAATTGCAATCCAGTATTCTTTCCCACTACTTGTCTCCCTCCTTCCCCCACCTCCACAAACCCACGTCTCCGCCCCCGCCCTCTCATCTAGCTTCTAGGTTGTAAACCAGACTATGCACAAGCACTACCGTCGGTCTAACTGAACCAAACACTCAAAACATCACTGAAGGTTTGTATGGGAGTTGACAAATATTACCACTGGCCTGACAGGAAATCGGAGGCGTGGTGCACACCAAAACAAACTTCAAACGTTTTACTCTCCTGCCATAACTACCCACGTGCGAGTAGGGGGTTGTCGTGTCTTCTGCAGCTTATGCCCACAAGGGCTCAGTTATTACTTCCAGATTTTAAACTGTCTTTTAATTACACTCTTTTCTCTCCCACTTTATCAGCAATGACGGCTGGGCATAACATAAAGGCAGTGACAAAACATTACTAATGGAACTAGTTTGCGTCAATGAGTTTGATCGATGAGTCTTGTGCCTTAGCTGAAATTGACAATTATTTCGAGAAATTTGCCGCCGTTTTCGGTCGCATTATACAACTCTTCGCAACCACTCTTTGCCTTTACCTATCCCTTCATCCTTTGACAAGACTTATGGAACTGTGCTCATTTTTCCTGCCTAGTTATTTTGTCATTGTATATTTACTGTAACCCACGGAGTTGAGCACTCGAAACTCCCAAAGTATTCTGCTACCAATTAACTGACTTCGGGGATGGAGTGGTGGGCTTGGATGACTACTAATCTAAGACTCGATTCTGGGACCTTGCGTGTAATAGCGCGCCACTCGCCACTACGCCACCGTAATATGAAAATGATCTAAAGCTAGCATATAATACGCATAGAGTTTTTGTTAACGAAATTTACAGTACTGGTTTTCATGTTCTGATATGATGAAGTTAACTAGTAGGAGTTTGTGGCATAATATAAGAAAATAAATATCAAACTTCGGACGAAATAATTGATTAGGATATCCCACACCCGAAACGCCATAAGTCAGTTGGTTACCATTATTGCCCTTTTTTGTATCCCTTCATGTTCAACTATTTGTCATCGGTCATGTTCAACTCTCAACGATTTTACATCGTTCAAATTGATTTGGTCGCTGTGCCCATTGAACATTTCACCAGTTCCAGATGATTCAACGACTCGTTTTACTTCTTTCGTCACTGCTGCCTTTCTGCTACGGGTTATCTTGCTATCACTGTGGAGTATTTCTGAGTGCTCCATCACCAGAATGCCGTGGTGCACCGAAAAATATCTCCTGTGATCCAGATCATTACGGATGCCTAAAGATCGTTGGAGACCGAAGTGTATGTATTTCATAATAGTAATTTCTTTTTTCAATCGGCATCTCGAAGTTCAACCCACGCTTCATACACCTATGTACCCAATTCGTCTACCATAGACAGATGGCTTCATCTTCCTTGCTTGTTCATATTTTTTTTCTTCCACGACTCTATTACTCTCTGAATAGTGTTGTGAGCTTTAGGGTTCAACCCCGCCCACTTAGGTGCATGACCCGCCCAGTCATGAAGCATCGGTTACTGTATTCCAGCATAGCCTTATCAATTTTGTTTTTCATACTCTAGAACGTTCGGAAAAAGAATTTGCTAAATGGATTTTAGCTTCCTCCTTTCGGCTCGCAGCCTTCCTGTCATGAATATATGAATATATTCCTCTTTCCTTTTGGATGTCCTTATCCTTTGCCTTCTGTATCCTCGAATAGAGGTGTTTTTTATAGTGAACTTCCCCATATGACCATTTCCATATTTTTTCTCCCGCTACGCCCATTATCGGAGGAGCTTCACTTGATTTAGGCATGTTTGCCTAACCCCAAACCATGGTTATTTCTCGCGTTTTCTTCTCAGTTTCTATTTGATTCCCGAATAGCATTGTGAACGTAGCCGTCAAGTAACACCCCTTTAGAAAACGCTCCACCCCCCGTTCCACCCCTTGACTAGTTCGTTATCACATTGCTCACCTTTACCCATTTTTCGCGGTATCTTAGCTGCTCTTATGGTTAGGCGAAGATGAGGAGATTTGCTTCTGCCATCGCCCATTTCGGTGCTTATCCTGCTCTCCGTCACTGGAGCTCCGGCTAGCTCACGCGTGCTCCGTACATCGTGGCCTTTGCCCCAACCCATTTCAAATTTGACCCTAGCTTTCTGCTTTTCTTTCAGTTGTACTGATTTACGTGGCACACACATACGCACATACCGCAGTCGCAGACGCTCATACATTCATTCACAGATACATATACACATAGGCACAAGCACGCACACACACGTACACACATTCATACACACAGAGGAAGGAATAAGCTTTTTAGTTATATCGCAAGGATGTTAAACATCGACATGCAAAGTAGCCGAAGCAGAAAACTCACTGTTCCCCTATCAAGCATCACGTGAGTGCTCTTCTACCATTTACGGTGAAGTCGTGGCCCAAAATACTTCATTGATGAAGTTGCAATACGGGGAAATATTGAAGAACATGGGAACCATTTTCTGAAAAAGGTCTTCCTAGCCAGTACAATGGTGGAAAATTGTGGCTACTTATATGAATCTACCTACCATTCTTGTGTCTGCAGTCCGTGGATGGAATTGCCATCGAAAAATTACAGAAGCCATCCTGGCTGAAATTATAAATTAGGTAGCTCAACAAATTGGAAACTAAGCGTAAACAATTGGAGTTAGTTGGGAATGACGAAAAATACAAAATACGATACAAAGATGAGTACACTTCAATGAAAGGATAAAGGCAATCAATAGTCGGATTTGGCAGCGGCAAGGGTGGTCGTGCCATGACGTAAGCATCGTTTCCGATGATCTACCTAGTCACAATTTTGGCGATCAATTTAACTTACCACGCAAAACAGTCACGTTTACTGCGTAGGATTTTTATGAATACAAACAAATAAAAAAAGCAGACAGTGTGAGAATTGACCAGTTTGGCTATCAAATAAATAGGTCCACGGTGAAGTTCCATTTCGGTACTGCTGTCTTTTCCTGATTTAAAGATTAGTTCGAGAGCTGCCTCATGTTAAGCTTATTTTTTTGTTCGCATTCAGCCTGAAACTGTAACAGTTTGGAAATTAGTTAATTTTTTATTTACCGAATATCCATTTCGGTACTCTACTCTAAAAATCCTTGAAAAAAGGAGCGAGTAGACCTCCATAGGTCGAACCAAGCTGGATTGCTGGTTGATTTTACTAAACTGCTTGGATTGCTAGAATCAGGGTTGTTTTGTACTCCAAATTATTTTAAACATATAAATAATCGTGCATTAAAGAGCAGTGGGCTGTTTGAGTGAGTGCATTTCAATAGACCCCAGCACGTTCCCCGGAAGAGTTTCTCCTCCTTGATTTACTTATTTACAATCCCCTTGAAAAAGAACAAACCAGTCTCTGAGTTAGAAACAGTTGTCATCCGTCGTACATGATAGTTTTGCCGCGTATTTCGGGGGACAGTTATGTATGTCTGGTCTTGGTAGCCTCCGCTTCGGAACAACAATAGAAGTTACATGGCGGCTCAAAAAAGACTATCCACTTTCATGCGCCATTGATGGATGAATTGAAGTTCTATTGAGGAATTACATAAAGGAAATAAATTAAGGATGGAACTTACTACGTGGAGAAGCGATGTGCTGAAAAAAACGACGACCACACCGCCGGCTGCAAGGAGATTACAGTACAAGGGTACGTCTTCAACCATTATGAATCTGGTCGTTGTATAAAACATTCGAAAGTTGCGAATTCGTACTCCTAAGCTAGCAATATATGCTCATTAAGTAGACGTTCCTTATTAGCACCACATTGTTCCTACTAGAAAAAATATTTGATTCGGCTAGGTTCGGATTAATCTGTTGCTCTCCACGCTCTCATAAGTAAGCCTAAACATTAAATTGACTCGAGGGTGTAAGGTATTCTCGTGAAGGTATGTCTCCTGCTTTTCAGGCGTTCTTACGTTATTTACTAGGCTCATTTTGTCGAAATAATGCCAAATGTTGGTTATATCTACTACTGTCTTAATGCCTTCTCAATGGGCCAACTGTTAAATCACACAGATCACAGGATCACATCCCAGACGGCATTTCTTGAAGTGCCTCACGCAAATTGTTCATGAATGACATCAAGAGGGTCCAGAATTGTGTATTATAAAGAGTAGCTTGAAATTTGGGTCCCATACGTCTGCACTAAAACGAAAGTTCCATAGTCTTTCCTTTTTCCGTGGCAACCCAACACAAGCAAAGGTATCTAAGCACCATATATCGATGCCTATGTTGATGTGTATAACTATGATATAACAGCGAAATTCTGTCTTTCCAAGGAATCTGGGAATCGGGCTCTATATGTCATACGTGCGGAAGCATGTGGGTGTGGGCGTTACCGCACCTCGTTTGGGTTTTGGGTTATACAGTTCACTTACGGGAGAGTGATAGGATTCCCCCTTTGGACGTTATTCCTTCTGCAAATTCAAACCAATTTATTACATGCCGCTTGCATTTTGCATTTCAAACGGGAAAGTCATAAATTTGAACGAGTTGAAGCTCGTACAGAAACCGCCGTGATTAGCATAATCTGAGGTGATTGTCAGATATAATGCAATATCATCACAAACAGTCGATAGAGTAACTAGACATCCTGTGACTCCTTGTAAAAACTCCCTCATTTCAGGATTAAAGCTCAACAATGTTTCTGCGAAGGGGACCTATGCAACAGTTCACGACAGTCATTCTTTAACGTACCCTTCCTAGTCGCCGTTGCTTCAGTCGTATTATTTGCTGGCAGATATGAGCTGCTTCATGCTTGACATTCAGCAGTTAGTTTACTATTTGATCATTGTAAGCTTGTTATAGCAATATGAACTCCTCAAAGGCACAGTTTGCAATCAAAACCTTCCAATGAATCCCTAATGATAGGCATCTATGAATTCTGAAAAGGCAGCATGGGACATGTCCTAGTCGAAAGCCAATTGGGCAAAGTAAGGGCTCGAGATTGTAGCCGGTCCTCATTGCCGCCTAGTACACCTTAGAAAGGACGAGTTCAGCTGCCTGTTCAGAGAGCGTTAACAAAAGTGGAGCACAATTTTGCGTTTTAAATGTCACCTGGTATACGGTACCGGATAACACGCGCTATTTTACAACCCTTTAAGCACTTCTGTCGTTGTTACCTGGTGTAACCTTTCAATTAGAAATGATCAGTTCAATTTAATCTTGTATTTCGAGGTTCCTATTAGTTTTCTCGTTTTTTTCGCCACTTATGAACTGTTCCGTACCAATAGTTCCACTCTGAAGGTCCCCCATGGAACAGTCGCGAACTGTGCCTTTGCACAAATTTCATCATACCACTCTCTAGTTTTTTTGAATTACTCTCTGCGTTGTTGTTATGCTGCCCTTATCCATTTTTATTAATTTTTGTGCTATTTGAAAGCTGAAATTTTTGAAAGATTTCTTTTTTTTTTACTTTTGAAGAGACTGCTGTTTGAGATATAGCTGTGTATGAAATTATCTCTGTATTTTTGCTGCATTTTGTTGGCATAAACCGTATAAAACATATTGTGTTGATGATAGTTGTTCGTGCCCATCAGCTTTCCGTGCCGTTTACAGGAAGCAATGGTGAATGACACCTGTTGACTTGTAGTGACTATTCCATCTGCAAAGTTTTAGGTGAAGGAATTCATTGGAAATTTGAAGGTTTTCAAAGCTTCGACAAAAGTGTTTGCTCGAGCAAAATCCCTCGATCCTCTTGCAAAGGCGAGAACCCCCTGTCACTATTGGCTTAGCTCCCTAATTCACTAATACTTCTGCAGAAGTGCTGCCAGCACTTACGTGTTCTCCTCGGTATGATAGGGATATCATAAGACGGCTAATTATCGTCATTTCTAGACTTCCCTTTCATGTTCGCTCTTTTCCCCCATATTTGTGCAGGCCATGAATGGTATTTCCAGGCGGGCTTTTATACTTGTTATGTCGGCTATGGCCGCCTTCCTCGGCTACCATCGATGATCAGTGACGGACAAGGGAAGGGTCGTTCGTATCGTTTGACTTTATAGGATCCATGGCGTGGGGCTCGCCGTGGTCCCGCTGGGAAATTACAACAGTTGCAGGGAGCGTGAGGATGCCACGTGCCCATGCTCGGTCACGGACTCTGGCCGGCTGTTGTCATTATTCGACGGTTGCATTCATTCATTCATAGTCACAGCCATCTTGCGGTTCTTCGTCTTGCTGTGAGCACTCTTCGACTTCATCGTCGGTCACAATTCCACTGGACTCCCAAGCACTTCAATACTGTTATGTACTACTGGTGCTCTCGCTGTAGCAGATAAGCGCGCGACATGAAGAACATCTTGAGGATACCCTTGCAGTCCACAAGGATGGACCTGGACCTCGACATGAACTGAGATCGCATCAATCTGCTGCTCTAATATGGAGGAACAGTGCGAACATGAAAGAGAAAAGCAGAAATGAGGATGATTAGTCGTCCTATTAAGAACCCTATCATACCGAGGATTATCAATAGTATTTCGACAACAACACTCGAAAACATTAGGGCTGATGGTGAGCTTGCCCCTTTTATACTTTGCGGCCACAGGACCAGAAATAATCTGCACTTGTGAGCATGATTTGAACACAAAAGCATCATAATGGATTCCTGTCCACTACATACCGAATGCCTATTTCGTGACAGGTTCCTATATCTTAGGCAAACCGACCTCGATAGGCTCCATTGTGATTAGGGGATTTACTCGTTGTTACTGTAACTTTTTTCACGCATTGTTGTTTGTTTGTTTTGCTTTAAGCACTGTACTGTCTTGGTGTATTTAACCATTTCTATAGTTAACTCTGACTGTTTCTTGGAAATTATTTATTCGAGCACCTGCTCAAGGCAATTTATCCGGGAACCCTTCAGTATCACAAAACACTAAAATCCAGAAGTTTATCGCAGTAGAAGACACTGTTTTCAATAAAACCTTTTATTCACATGGAAATCATTTTCTGTTGTTACAGGCGAGTTTTCTTTTCGGACTGGGAGTGCGATGAATCCGTCTTTGATTTGAAGTAGAATGCAGCTAAAAATTACTGATCAGCAATCAACTTTCACTTTTCAGCCCTTGCGAGCGCCACGTTAATAACAATGTACAATCTCTACTTTTCAGCTGCGGAATACTGTACGCGACTTCTTTCATGCGATATAGTATGTATATTTAATGACCTTCAACAGTCAGTGTCGACATCTGAAGTGGTCCATGTTGTCTTGGATGATTCCCGTTAGGCGCAGGAAGTACACAAATTATCTTCTCCCTGCAAAGCTTCATATTCATGCCAACAGGACAACATGGAGCTCAGCTCCCAATACAGATACAAGATTTTATTCCCTTGGAGACAGGTGCGACTTTCCGGAGCACACAAAAATTGTAAATTTCCATACTTCACGACTGTTTGTCGTCAGGATTCAATCATTCGAAATAAGGAAGACCACGAACAAGAACGTTTAATCATTGCTTATGAATATACTCAAATATGCTTATCTTGGAAATGTAGCAGAAGCAATTGGTATAGCAGAAGATCGCTGTTTTTGAATTTTCAAAGTTGTTAGAAGGATATTTCGATAGTCCTTGACACATAATACGCTAACGAGTGGCCCAGATAGCGGATTGAGTGCCATAGCAATGCCAACGAAATTGTTTACTAAATCCGGGCTAGGAAGTCCAGTGAAAAGCATAATAAACATCATGCCCAGTGGCAAATGCATCAGTATTGTTGGACAAGCTATCTGAAAGCGAAACCGCATTACATGTACTGCTCTCAGGGCCAGCAAAGGTGAATGAAGTCCCTACCTGGATTGATAGAACTATGAGCAGTTCTCTATATATCTCCTTTGTTCGATCGCTCAGTGAGCTGCTTTTGAGGCATTTGTGGATTCTGTATGCACAGAACGGGCTCAATTGTGCCAAACTTAGCATCAGTGCCAGTGATTCGATCATTATGGCCAATTTGACTGGATCAGCTCCTCCCTGTACGATGCATAGCAGATATGTTTAGGTTATGGTAAAGAACGCATAAGTGCGGATAGTAATTCCCAGCAATGTTAACTGGTTCGCTTAAAAAGTCCAATGACGTAAATCCCAACATCTGCGTGGTTTTCTATGAGATTGGAGTAGCGTTGAGAAATTTCCATGACAGGTGGCCTCAAGCCTATTATTCGAATTGCGTGTCCTTTCGTCATTTGGAATCGCAAATTCACCACGATTGTATAGTAGGCAGATTGGAAAAAGCAACTTGAAGGCCTAGCCACCCTAGATCTAGGTGATTTTTCTTTCTTGATAGCTCCTTCGCCAGCACGGTCCCTCACCAAATGTGGGCGTCCGCACAAAGAAAAACCACATAGCTTACTCATTCTAGCAAAACTTACCATGCTGGTGAAACCGAGGTAGACTCTATCGGTAAGATTCAGGTCTCCATAATAGACGAATTCTGCTGCATATTTAAGTTTATCATTAGGCCATAATGCAAAAAATATCAATCCAAGCCAGTTTAAGGTACATATCAAGTTGATCAGAATTCCAATAGCCAAGTACTTTTTCATTGTAAAAATATATGCAAGATTGCTTCTGAAATGTTGAATCAAAAATATGTGAAACAATGAAAAGTATTCTAAATCGGACCTAAAGGAGCAGTTCCCAAAAGAAAGGTTTCGGAATTCTCCCGTAGGTTTGATCATTAATGATGGGGGAAGGGACCCATTTAGAGCGCATTCAGAGCTCTGACCCTCACTACTGCTCAGTGCTTCTGAAAAGGCAGGTTTTCACATCCCTTAGAGACTGACATCAGTCAAAATAGAGTATAGAGTAGAGAGATTTTATTGTTAACGCTGCCAGTTGTAAGTTCCACGTTCGGTCTTTTTGTAATGTTGCATAATGTTTTGCAGTGTTTTGCCGTACAGGATTGTTGTGGTAGAAACCGTTTTATTTGGTCGACGTTTCGACTATCTCGTCGTCTTCAAGGACCTGAAAGCAGTTTGGAGCTCCT